GACTTTCCCGTGGCCCTTGGTTGCCGGCATTCCGTTGTCGCTCGAGGTCTGGGAGGTATCGGCGTTGTGTTGTTCCACCCAGGACACTTCGTTGCCGTTGTTTGGTTCGGCCTTGTTCTGAGGCGCCATGGTATTAAGTATTGAACGAGATGGGCCTTGAGGGAAAGGATATCAGACGATCCAAGAGCAGGCTCCCTGGGAAGAGGAAGAAGATATATAAGGTGAGGGCGGAAAACGAAGGAGGCCAGCTTTCTCAGCTCTCCCGACTTTTGCGTGCGGGCATCGAATTCGACAGCCATGGCCATGGTCAGGTCCCCCGATGACGTCCCAGCTTCGAGTGGCAGTCGGAAGGTCACTGCCAACCGGGGCGGCAACGGCGTTCGCTGTACCCACCGCCGCGGGCGCGAAACTGGCCTTTGCGGACGCTTCTCGGGAAGCATTGGCTGACGCCGGATGGAAGGTGGAGCGACTGCTCGGCACCGACAAATCCGGTGGGCCTCTTACAGTTGTCCGCCGCGATGATGCCGAACTCGAAGCATCCTTTTCAACACCTTACAGCTTATGTCAGCCACCAGTCCCCCAGCATTTCATGTTGATCAGACGATCCACCACCCAGATCTCGAGCCTGATGCAGGGCGGCAGCACCCGAACCCAGTCTCAACTGTTGGGAGCCGCACTTGTTACAAGGAGAGACAGGCCCTCGAGGCCGCAAGAGGATCAAAGTCTAGAGTCCTCAAGGCCGATCACATAAAGGTAGCCAAGAGCAACACCTGTTTCCCACTCTCATCAAACGACACTCTGTCATCGGCTAACGCCTTTTGTTCTTAGGACCACGCCGCTCCTGGAACGTGCCAAGGCAAGAAACGCGCAGTGGGCCTGTCCAAAAAGACGCTTCCGCCGTGCCGCTGCTCAGTGCTGTCGCTGCATCCCCCGCTCCCTGTCGACGACTTTTGTTTTGGAAACCGCCTTGCCTGTTCATGCCTTTACACCACGACCTTATCATGATCTTCGCACGACTCTAGCGTGATGGAAGCGTCGAGGCCGCCGACCTGCATTCAACAAGCCCGTGTGATGCTTTGAAAATGGGATGCCGGTCGGCATCGCTGGCTGCGCCTCGCTTCTCGCTACCCCAGGATCCAAGTATAGGCGCCATGCTTAGGAATTTTGACGGTCACGATGCTTCCTGGAGTCGATATTTGCGCTCTCGACTGTTCTCCGGCCTTGTTGTGGAGGTGCGAAAGCGCAAGGGCAGCAATCTAGACGACTGCGTCTCCTGCCGCGCCAATTCTCGCACAGTGCTGTAGGGGTCTTTTGTGGGCTGATGGGGCTCGCTGACCATGCGACTCCGGACCTTTGGCCTGATGCTGTGCTCGCGACGCCCATGGGGAGCCCACAGCAACTCCTCATTTCCTCCATGTTTTGCGCATATCTCCCCATTCCCCAGCCCGAGGGCGCAGCATGGAGAAAAGACTGCGTCTCGCGGTGCAGAGACGAGACTTGTGTCGACGCTGTCAACACCAGGTGTTGTCTTGTCATGCCAACACAGCCATTCGCTCTACAGCTTCTGGACCGTGTGGTGGCAATCTCAGCCGACGCATCCACCGCGTGACGTCAGTCCGTTCCTCTTGACCGAGTCGCTCTTTCAAAAAACCAGGAGGCGGCAGCCGTCCGGCACCTCCGCGTCAGAAGGGCAACGCCAATGTTTGCCAACCCCATTCTCATTTCCTCTGGCTCCCCCGGAGGGTTTGCGCGTGCACCCACGTTGGGGGCTGCTATGGCCTTCCTGCAAGACAGACGGCGCCGCTCCTTTCTCGGTCACGGCCACGTCGCAAGGGTCGGGGTCGTCGTCCCAAAATTCGAACAGGCCCGCAGCTGCGCACACCGCCGTTGAGGACACGAGACACTCAACAACATGTTGTGTGATCTTGCAGATTTCTCGATGCCCTTCTCGGCGGAGCTTCTCACAATCTTCTTCCCCAAACGAGGGGTAACGCCCGCAAATGACTTCTCCACGATGGCACCATTTCCCGGAGTCGCTCGCCCATGGGGTCTGGAGTCTATGCGCCTTTAAAATTTTGAAAGTCTGACACGTGGGAGCCGATTTCGCTGATGCATGTGCAAGTCTGTAAGTGCCGTCAAGACTTGATTTTTACTGCACTCAAACGAGGCTCAAAATTGGGTCGTAACATGCAGAAATCACAGTTGGTAAGTTGTCCTCAAACCTGCGTCCACTTTTGACTGGCCTCGTCGATTTGCATCGGGCGGTCGGCGCAGAACGACAGTTTGGAAATCGTGACGTTTTTTTATGCCGAAAAGGCGCCTTGACGTTACGAAACAACTGTCGGAACCGGAATTCCACGTTTTTCGTACCCAGTACCTTGGCAGGCGACTCGAGAGCCTCACGCCTCATCTGGAGATCAGGGACGAAAGTCGGATGGCCCTTTCTCTACGTCGTCCTTGTCCTTGGCTTCCTTCACCCCGACGTCATACACACTCCCAAAAATTTTCCGCAATCCCCGGTGATGAGCGTCGTGTTTTGTTTACTGAACCCTTCCGGCGGCGGGACGGGCAACGGCGCCACATCCGCTCGCCTTTTCTGATCTTTCAGCCTCTTACATAGGTCTTGCTGCTTTGATCACCTATTTCCCTATCTGCCGCCTATCTCCGTTGTTGGTAAGTCCAAGTAGGAACCATGTGGTAGGTGCTAGTAGGCTTTTGCCCTTTGGTTCAGGGCCTGTAGGCTTTCGTTTGTGGCAACTTCGTGCTCGCCCCTTGTTCTTGAAGCCTTGTTCGAGATTGTTTCCAATAATGTGTCAAGTACATGAGGTAGTAAATGTTATTACAGACTCAACTATGTTCCTGTGCCGCTGCTCCAAGAATAATCGCGTTTGTGAAGTGTGCAATGTTTCTCTATAAGACGTGTAATATGTGTTCACTTCGCAAAAGCTGCTTCAGCATCTCCTCAAACTTGGTACCGACAATCTGTTGTGAAGCTCATGGCACATCAGGTTGCAGATGTCACGACGATACTTCTGCCCTGGTGTCGAAGAGGTAGAAAATCAGAATAAAAATAAGTGCATTTGTGAGGTGCGCAAACTTCCATCACTTTGCAGAAGCTGCCGCAGCGTGTCCTCAGACTCGCTCCAGACCGACTCCAGTGAAGCATTCCGCTCATCAGGCAGTGAAAAGTACAGAATACGCAATCAAAGATGCCTCTGTCCTGGGACTCAAAATCAAAATTCAAAATCATTCATGAGGCCTGCGAGATTCAATCACTTCACAAAAGCAAGCTCAGCATATCCTCAAACGCGATGACATCGGTTTCGCTGGCTCTCGAGACATGCACGCTCACCTCTCCCCTCGTGTTCGTCGAGTCATTCGATCTTCACCAATCCAAAAGTCTTAGTCATTGATTTTCACCTCCGAGCGAGCGAGCGTCGAGCGGTGCGGGCAGGGGAGCACTGCAGAGTTTTCAGCGGTCTCGCCACCTGGGCTTATGTCATAGCCTTCCCACGCAGCCAATAGACATAAAATATATACGCAAACAGCCAGGTTGCTTCCATCAATCGGCGTTGTGGCGGAGTGGTTATCGCGACAGACTAGAAATCTGTTTCCTTCGGGAGCGCATGTTCGAATCATGCCAACGTCGCTTAATAGGCCTCTAGGGCTTTCTTTTTTGTCTTTTGGGAGTCCTGGACGTGTTGTTGGGGCCCAGGGAGGCTCGGGAATGAAAAAAGGGGGCACCGGGAGAACTTCGGCCTAGCCGGCGACGCGAGCAAGATGGACTTCCCAGACGACTTCCAGCAGGTAGAGGGCCTTCTTCTCTATCATGTCGAACCTTTTTCGATCCCAGAAAAGCGTCGTGGGGGAGGAAGGAGTCCCGGATGTTCGAAAAGGGGGCGTCGGGAGAACTTCGGCGGAGACGGCGATTCGAACGAGCAGCACTTTCATACGGACTTCTTTTTTTCCTCTTCACTTTTGGTCATCAGCCGTTCAGCAAGCGAGTGCGTCGTGAGTGCCTAGCCGAGCCCGGATGTGGTAGTCTAAGCGAAGAACTGCAAGGGGCGAGTCGGGGTCGGGATTCGGCCGGGGAAGGAAAAAACGGGAGAGCGACGGGGTCGCTCTCGTGTGTTCGCAGCGAAAACGAATGCCTTCTGGAGAGCCTCGTCAGCAAGATTCTGGCCTTGAGAGACCGTGGTGCGTGCGAAGTCTTGTCCGTCCAAACTCGTCCTCGCACGCCTCACTTTCTCGGCGCGGCTCGAACAGCCGTCGGCCTGCACGATGCGCGAGCGCGACGAAGCCAGTCCCTCTTCCTCCTGTCATGTACCTCGAGGACCGTGATGCCCTCTCAACGCGATGCCAATGCCTCGTCGTGTCCTCTCCTCTCCAGCGGGGTGCAGAAAGACAGGCGGGCGGCTGCCGGGCCGCCGTTTCGTCGAACGCTCGCCCGCTTCATCTCCGAGCAGCGCGATGCGCGCGCGGGACGTGAGATGCTCCTTGACGTGACTCTTGCGCCGCGAGATCCAAGACATGTTGATTCTGGACTGCTGGTGGGCGTGTGTTTTTGTGTCTTGTGATCATGTTGTAGGGCAGCGAAAGATGGCTCGTTGGCGCGGCGCAGCAGCGGAGTGTTGAGCTGGTGCGGCAAGAGCGAAGGACTGCCAGAGCGTCGACTTGGGCATCGGAGTCTTCTGTGTTTGATGGACTGACTGCTTCGTTTCTTAGCTGCCTCTTGCTCTACTCTCTTTGGGTTTCCTTTGCTCCGGCGTCTCCTGTCGTTTTTCCGTCCGTCCGTTTGTCAACTTGTGCTCGCTCTCAATTCTTCCATTAGACCAGTCTTTCGCTCTCCTTCCGTCGACTTACCTTCTCACTTCCTCCTCATCTGGCCTATCGCTTCCATCTCCCGGCAGCACACAGACACCGTCATCCCTTCCTCGACGTCCCACACAAGGCGAAAAGCGTCGACGAAAGGAAGAAAGAGCATACATTTCTACCACACACAAACTGACCAGGACTCGAACCTGGGTTTCATCCACAGCAGCGATTGCTAGCGTAGATACGTGCTACCGACTGCACCACCAGCTCGAGAAAGTATGATAGAAATGCATGCCCGTTGAGGCCGATCAGGACTTGAACCTGAGACTTGCCTGTGGGAACCACAGACATGTGATACCGCTTCACCACCAACCCAAGAGAAAAGAGCATACATTTCTACCACACCACAGACTGGCCAGGACTCGAACCTGGGACCTCCGACCGCAGACGACGAGAAGTCGCCGCAGGGGTGTGCTACCGACTGCACCACCAGCCCGAGCAGGTGTGATAGAAATGCATGCCCGTTGAGCTGACCAGGAATCGAACCTGAGACTTGTCTTGACTGCGAGAGTCGTCGACATGCGTTACCGGCTACGCCATCAGCCCGGGATTGATCACCTCTGGCCTCGAGAGCAGCTTTTGGGGGCTGGGCTCGGGGGTGCAGAGGGATGGAGAAGAAATTTCTGGGGCGGGAGAGCGAAGCCTTTTATTCAGTCCTGCAGTGACTCAGAGAGCGTTGTCGTCGAGGCAACGGGTGCCGCTGGTCGAGGGAGCGAAGGTTGGTTGACCAAGTGTCTTGCCGGGAAACCTCCGCGGGATTACCATCGTTTGAACTGTCGCGTACCAGATGTGAGGGGTGAACGTGACTAAAATATTTCATGGTATGACACGACACGACCGAGTGTACAATCCTGATTGACTGCATATGGATCGAGTCAGGATGATGTTCCGCGGCCGACTTTGTCCTTTTAGAGACATCAACACTGGGTGCATTGGAAGAGTTGGAAGAGAGTTCCCGCTCATTGCTCCTTGGAAACTCATGTGTTGTTCGCCTCTGACTCACCTGAGCAATGACCGTCCAGCCTTTTACCACTTTTCCCCTTTTGTCTGGCTGCGGTGGGACTCTGGCTTGTATCGATGGATGGACAAGGTGTTCTGCCTCAGGAGTAAGCGCCCCTGATGTGAATTATATCAGCCAGGTCTGAGCATGTAGATGAAGTCCGCCTGCGATAATTAAATCCATTGGTGCCGAAAAGGCCGTTTCAGGGATATTCGGGGCATCGTGTCCGGAATGATAGGAAAATTCGTCTACTCTTTCCAGTGCCACGGTCATCCCCTTGGCCAATCAGATTTTCCCGCACCGAGAATGCGACAGCAAGACTCCAAGTTGAAAGTCAATCTTCTGAATGAAAGAAGACTTTTTTTTTCGCAGGCCCTGAACCGTTTTGCGACGGACATCTCTTTGAAATGATGACGCCGACAAAAGTGTGATATTCTTTCATGCAGCCTATCACCATCGTCGCCCCTTGAGGGCTGATGTGCTTTAGCAAGACAGGCAGGTGCAACGGGGCGCGACGTTTAGTTGTTCTCGCAAGTGGAAAGGGCGTTAGCGCTGCCACAGGAGTTTCGCTCGCCGATTAAAATTGTTTTGCTTGAAGGTTCAGCTGCCAGCGGACGTCTTCAATCCGTCTTCCGTGGCTCTTTAGAAGTTTCTGGTGTGAGCAAATAGCCAAGGGGTCTTCTTTTCTGCATTCGTTGACGTGCTGAAGCACTCTCCTGAAAGTTACAAGTAATGTGAGTTAGAAATGTCGGCGCCATTGCATAGTTGATGGGCGAGGTTAGAATGGTGAGTTGGCTTGGTTTGCTGGGCAGCGACCATGTCCGAGTTTGAGCACTGTGCTACAGCCTGCTCTAGTAAGTCGAGTAAACAAATCATGGGGTCAGTGTCGCTTCACTGCAAATCAGTAACGAGCCACAAAAGTTTTGCAATGTCAAAATCAAAGTCTAGTAATGGTTCAGGATCAAACAGGGGATTTAAGCAAACACTTCTCCGAATTTCCTCATCAATCAATCCAAAGCTCAGACCGAATGAGCCATTCCCGCTGGCCCAGTCTCATCACACGTCCTCGAGTGCTTACATAGCACTGGGCGTGCCGCTGGGCATGGTACCGTTGGTAGTACCGTTGCCACCACCCATACCGCCGCTGCCGCCGCCAATAGCCGAGTCCTCATTCTCGTGGCCACCGTCAGCCTGGTAGTAAGCGGCAACGCTGTAGTAGTCGTCATCAATGTAGTTGGCGGTAGTGTTGATGCCAATCTGGATCCAAGCAAAGAGGCCGTCCTCAACGGTGTCGCCGAGGTAGGTGTACTCGGGGAAGGGGTCGTAGGTGGTGCCGGCCTGGACAATGTCCCACATGTCGTCGGCGTTGGAGGTGACGGCCTGCGTGTTGGTCGTGTAGGGGTAGACGGCCTCGACTGCCGAGCGCAGCTCCTCGTTCCAGAAGAGCTGGCCAATGTGCGTGATGTTGTTGGTTGCCGTGATGGTGTTGTTGGGCTGCACCGTCACGTTCATGTGGGCCAGCAAGTGCGTGTGCGTCGCGCGACCGTCGTAATGGCCGGGGAAGATGGTCTCGAAGGAAACGACGCCGTCCCTGTCCGTCTCCTGGATGCCGCGCAGGTACGTGCTGTTGAGTCCCTCGGCCGCGTAGTTGCCGCTGTTTGCTCCTGTTAGTGGCCTTTTCCCTTTGCAACGTCGCAACAGAGCCAAAAGAAATCTTACCTGGTGTAGATACCAGAGTAAACACCGGTAGCGTTGGCGTTCCAAATGTCGACAAAAACGCCCGGGACACCCTCGCAAGTCTCAACGTCGACGTACTGCACCTCAAGGTACAAGTCGACACCGTCAGAGTACACGTCCTCCTTGACGTTCTTGCGAATCATCTCGCCAACGACGTAGTATGGGCCGTCTGTGACCTCTGGTGTCAGGATGCAGCTGGTGTTGCCGCTGAAGATGGTGGCCGCATCCGTGGATGCGTCGTAGTTCTTGATGCCGGTCATGTTGTGGTTGATGGCTTCGTACTCCTCGAGGGTGGCCAAGTCGCGGCGGAACTTCTTGGGCTCTGTTTGCCGTCAGATCAGCTCTTCATTTCTCCTCGATTCACTTCCATGATTGTGGGAATACATACTGGCAGTGATGCCACGCTTCTGGCGCAGCTCCTGCGCCACCTGGGCGCGACGAGCAATCGAGCGAGCCTTGAGTTGCTTTGACCTGGGCGAGTTCGCGCAGTTGTCGAGAGCGCGCTTTGAGTGCGAGGCCAAGTGCTCGCGAGCAGCAATTTGGCGCTTGACAACATCGTGCTGGTGCGTCTCTCCAGGATGAGCACCAGCTGATGCAAAGAGGGCGGCAGCCGTGAGGGCGCCAGTGATTTTGGAGATTTGGACCATGGTGGTGAGAAGTTACAAGATTTCACTGCCCGTGGTGGACTTTTGTCGTTTCTGAAGCGAAAAAAGAGGGAATTTTCGATAAAACTGGGCGACTGATGGAGAGAATGACGGAGACCTCATTGCCAAAGCCATCTTTATACATTGTTCGTGGAGGCTTTGCTCGCACCTCTCTTTTGCTGGTTGCTTCAGCCAGTCCCTACCATACGTACCCCCCCGGCCACTTGTCGTCGTATGCCTCCGTGCGTGGTGGCTCTTCTCGGGCCGGTGCACCACCCCTAATCGTAACTCGCCGACCTTACATTTGGAATGCAACGCTACCGATTGGTGGACATGGCGTGCAAAGGTCCACGTTGGGCGTCGATCTGGATGCACAATATGGTGTCGTTGCGAGTGGTGCATCTAGAGTGCAGTCGATTGAGAAGCGTTGAGTTTGCGCGAACAGACATTTTCCTCTTTTTGGCTGTGTTGGGGGCCTGATGATTGCATCTCCGTCTCTTTCTCAAGCACTCAAAATTGGAATGTCGCATTCCGCTCGACGGTGTTTACCAAAAGTTCTTGGGCGGAAAGTCCCATTGCAAAAATGCCAAGACTAGACAGAATCCCAGCGTTGGGTGCAAGACCAATCGTGGGGAACCGTTGTAATCGCGATCAGTGCTACGCGTCATTCCCTTCCTTTTGCGGCGAGTGCCCTTGATTAGAGCGCCTTTGATTCGCTCAACCCCATCAAAAGCTGTCAAAGCGGTAGCACTTGATTGCGCGTACAGATGCCTCGACCACAGCCATCTTTTCCCGCCGCAGGGCGGAACGCCTCGCGCCAAGAAGTTTAGAGTCGAAACGCCGCTACGAGGCAGCTCGGTAGAACCTATAGCGAGTGTGTTTGTACGGCGGTTATGCACAGCCGTCGAGTGGGGCGCAGAGAACTTTTGAGGAAGTTGTTTGACAGAGAAAGAGATTGATCAGCTGCGACACCTCACAGCTCACGACTATCCCCATTCAAGTTTGAACAGTGGTTCGTTCCAAACTGTCAAGACAAAAGTTGCCTGGAAGTGTCCATGATTCCCTTCCGTGAACCGCATTTTCGCAGCATCTAGACGGACGCAAAAGTTGCTCCGACGCACATCACAACCGCCTCCATCTCGCGCTAGAGCAGGAGAAGCATCCCGGTCGGTGGCCGGCATATTCCAGACCATGTGTTGTCCTAGAAGAGCGGGGTGGCTTTGGCCATGTGGTTTCGAGACATGCGCGGCACTGCTTTATGCTGTCACCTTGGGAGCCTCCCGCGGCAACTAACGGCAGTCACCTGTAACTGCCGAAACTGCTTCACCGTAGTGCAGGTTGAGGTGCGGTCCGAGGCAGAGACTTCGTCGGCTAATGTCCTTTGGCGTTGGGGTGTCCGCGGAGGTGGACTCCTGATTTCTGGGTTCCCTGTGTCTGTCGTCGCTAGACCAGCCTGCTCCTCCTTGGTTTTGCAGAATTCGATTGTCGACGAAAAGTGGCAGTATGTATGAGTTTCCATGAATTCTCTTTGATGCCTCGCTGAACCAAGCCAGGGAAACTGCTGACGCTTTATACGCGCCTGCGTTCTCAACCCCGTGTGTCCGCCCTCGGTCCTCATCGGAGTCCTTCGACTGTCGACAGTAACTCCGAAAGCCCATCATCTCGAAAGCGAAAAAAAAAAAAACACCGTCCTGGAGTCGAGAGCAAGCGCGATGGTACAAAGACGATGGATGAGGTTGAGAGAGCCGCAAGTTAAGCTTTCTTAGCCGAGACAGGGTAGGATGCCAAGGATCCCCAGTTGTAGGCCGACAGTTTCTCTTCCAACAGTGCGCAGGAACAACACAGGTAAATATCGAATTGTTTTATTGTAGGAAACCGTAATCTATACGATTCAAGGAAATTGATGCGCAGTGATGACCAAGGGATCGCGAATCTGTGGCCTCTTTGAGCAAAGTCAAGACGTCTTGAGCATAGTCTTTCTCAAATCTTGATGCCAAAAACAAAATAATGGGGGAATCTTCAATAGGGAACCAGAACCACGGACCAAAAGGATGAGAAGTATCAAGACCACCAACGCCAGAACGAACCGCCTAATCCGAGTCGTAACCAAGAGCAGCGTCTGCTTCCCATATGTTGACTCCTCTGTTCGTCTTCTTGCTCGTTGA